AAAAAAAAAAAAAGACATTAAGGAGAAAAATAGAGAGGTAAGACATTTATGGGACAAAGAAATGAGTTATTATCTGTTGATGATAAAGGGTATAATATCCACAACTGGACCGATGAGAAATGTATTCATGTTGGCACATTCACTTTACAAGCTAAGTGACATATGTAATTGGATATATAAAACAAATTAAAATTAATTTTTTCTTTTTAAAAAAAGCATATGAAAAAAGGTTCAACATCTCTTATAAGGGAAATGCAAATCAAAATGACAATGAAGTATCACCTAACCTCAGTCAGAATGGCTATGACAAAAAAAAACAAAAAACAAAAAACAAGTGATGACAAGGCTGGGTAGTTGTAAAGGGAACCTCCCTGCAGTTGGCAGGAATGTAATGTAGTACAGCCATTGCAGAAAACAATATGGAGGTTCATCAAAGATTTACAAATAGAACTACCACGACATAATAATCCCAGTTCCGGGTATTTACCCAAAGGACAGGAAATCAGCCAGAAAGATACTTGCACATCAAAGTTTATTGCAGCACTGTTTACTTTCTTTCTTTCTTTTTTTGCATGCCAGAGAGAGAGAGAGGAAGTGAGAAATCATCCCCTGGAGAGACAGTCATTTTACAATTCCTTTTTCTCCATTATCTTCATGTAATTTTGAGCACATACACATACACAGCCAGTGTGATTCTTCAAGTCACTAGGTCCAGTCCTTGAACTGCAGTCGGCCATTTAGAGTTCAGTGCTTTAGCCACCATGCCACCTGGTGGCCCTGCAGAAATGTTTCAATAGCTAAGATATGGAATTGATCTAAGTGTCCAACAACTGATGACTAGATATTAAAAAATATGTGCATATATACACAACAGAATGCTAATCAGCTATAAAGAACAATGAGATCCTGTTTTTCAATACAAAGTCATTAAATCTATATGATGTATGCTAAGTAAAATAAGCCAAACTATGAAAGACAAACACTACGTCCTCACTCAATATATATCGAATATCTGCACTCTATGGCAGAAATGTAACCAATTAAAGATAAAAATAACAACTATAGATACCAGAAACTGCACAGGGGGTGGGGAAGTAGGAGGGGCTAAGGAAAAGCTTTTAACAAATACAGGAATGCAGGTAGCAGGGCAAATGGGCTATGGAATGGCATACCACAATGTATATGTATGGATACACACACACACACACACACACACACACACACATCAAATAAGGTTTGGCAACAATGAAGCTCACAGTTTATTTATAAACTGATTTTGCTTCTGCTGTGCACACTGGAATCTTTGTGTCCTTCTTTGAGTTCCTTCCTCTTAGCCCTGGGCCTTTTTGTAATGAAAGTTCACACACCGTTTCTTTAAAATTTCTGTTCCTAATGCTCCCAGAGGGACATATTTAAAGTCTCTCTAGTACATTGGACATCACTTGTTTAGTATCTATTGTTAGTTTCATGGTGCGGAGGACTGGATCTTTGTACAGTAGCTACCTGTGCTAACGTGAGTCCCAGCTCTGAAGCACTTCTACAGAAGTTATACCCCTGCCTTGTTCTTTCCCATCCCTGCTCTCCTTGAATGGCGTGGAATATAGAGTAAAGAGAGATGAAGAGGAGGATTTTTATGGAGTGGTGAGAGAAGTCTAGATATGTCTTTTCTTTAGTATGAGAAATAAAATGTTATAAAACACTATCAACATCCATTAGCTTTCTTCATACTTTCTGATTAGGCAAAGTCACAATGTTTTTGTTTGTTTGTTTGTTTTATTGTTTTTTTGAGAAGTTTTTGCTATAGGGCGCATGCGCTCACCAGAAAGACAGAGGGAGACAGACAGAAAGCGAGAAATCACCCCCCAGGGGGGATGGCCACGCCACAATCCCTTCTCCTCCATTCTCCTCTTGGGATCTTGGGCATGCATACACACGCACCCGGCATGAGTTTAAGCTACCAAGTTTGGGACTCAAACCACAGTCGACTACATGGAAGTCCAGCAACATAGCCATCACGCCATCTGCTGATCCTGGCAAAGTCATAATGTTATCTATAACTCATATGAAACAAATATCCACCCCCTTCCCAAGATGATAAAGCTTATTCTTGCCTAGTTTTATAGAAATAGGACTTCAGGGATAGACCAACACAAAGGAAACTGAACGTAGTTCTCCAACCCTCAGAATATTATAAATTACCTGCCCCTTTCAGAGTTCTTCACAAGGGTAATTTTTAAATGATAGCATGAAAACACTTCAGCAATGTAGGTTTCAAATATATATCAAAACAGTTAGGTAAATCTGAAAGAATGTTTTTATTTCATATTGTCAGTATACTTACAGTTTTTTCATTATTTTCAAAAGCTTCTCTTGCTTCTTCAAATGTGCAGACTTCTTCTTTGCACTCACGCTCAATATTGCCCTGTCTGATTTCTTCAAAAAGTCCATTAGCTCTTCGGTAGCGTTTTAATACTGAATTGGCTTTTTCTCCCGTGAGGAAAACTAAAAAGAGATATAATAATGAGCACAAAAATATAATAACAAACCTATGTCGGAAGTCAGTATACAAGTTGAAAACTGCTAGGTGCTCTTTAGAAAATGCAGCCAACATCCTAAACCTCTTTCAGTGAATCAGCACTCAAGTAACACTTAGCCCCAAACCACTGCTTCTGCTGTTGTCCTCATCATGTGAGTGTATCCTGTCAAGAGCAGTTGCCCTGGGCAGGGATAGTGACATAATTAATTATGTTATATTCAGACTTTAACACATT